CTCCCCCATCCACATTGACATGACAGCTGGGGTTGTCATTGTTCTGCCTTGTTTAGGCAGCCATGCTGTTGAGATTTTATGGGTGCTACCCTGCCAGAGCTAGAAGGCCCAATCTCAAGCAAACTTCCTGGTTGTCTGGCTTCTGCATTCTTCCACATTTTCCTCAATATTCTCTCTGCCTTAGGCCCAGGAGTGTCGCCGTGGATGTACCAGTGGGGGCTGGGCACTGCATTCTCAGCGGCCGCATTTTTAATAGATGAATTTCCGTTACCCCCTTTTATTTCACTGCATTTGATTTAATGGCAAAACATCGTCAATCAATAGTTGAACAGTATTTAGTATGACATTTGGTGGCTAGTATGTATTTTAGATTTCCTTCTAGACCAGTAATATTTCCTGTGCCTGATGGCCATTTGTGCCAAGTGGATACCACGCCTGCCTGGCATTGCAGCTCACTCAAGAGACCTAAAAATTTCTCAGTGGAAGTTATTCATGAAATCTCTCTCAGTGGGGTTCATTGATCTAAAAATAAACATGCACCTTATAGGCCTTAAGTGTTCCACTCTGAATCTACTCCCCCTCTTCTGTGAGTTTGATTCCTTTCATCGTTATTTGGAAGCAGTTTCTGACCTTGGTCTGCCCTTCAAATTCACACTGTGACAGATGTAAGGTCCTCACTGCCACCTCGTTTTCTCTCAGTAGTCACAGAGCATGTGCACAAACAGCTAACTATAAAGAAAAGTTGTAAACAACCATTTTTTGACATTTTTTATTTAAATTTGAAACAAGCTTGTTTTTTCCTGTCAATCCATGATTCCCTACCCTCCCTCCTTCCCTCCCTCCCCCCCCCATCAACCCACAACCCATCCCCTTTCTGCTCCCCAGGGAGGATGAGGCCTTCCACGGGGAATCTTCAAAGTCTGTCATATCATTTGTAGCAGAGCCTAGGTCCTCTCCCATGTGTCTAGGCTGAGGGAGTATCCCTCTATGTGGGATGGGATTCCAAAGTCCATCCGTATACTAAGAATAAATACTGATCCATTGCCAAAGGTCCCATAGACTGCCCAGTCCTCCTAACACCCACACTCAAGAGATCTGGGTTGGCCCTATGCTGATTTCCCAGCTATCGTACTGGAGTCCATGAGCTCCCCCTTGTTCAGGTCAGCTGATTCTATGGGTTTCTCCAGCCTGGTCTTGACCCCTTTGCTCATCACTCATCCCTTTCTGTAATTGGATTCCAGGAGTTCATCTCAGTGTTTAGCTGTGGGTGTCTGCTTCTGCTTCCATCAGCTACTGGATGAATGCTCTAGGATGGCATATAAGGTAGTCCTCAATCTCATTATTGGGGAAGGGCATTTAAGGTAGCCTCTCCATTACTGCTTAGATTGTTAGTTGGGGTTATCCTTTTAGATCTCTGGACATTTCCCTAGTGCCAGATTTTTCTTAAAACCTATAATAGCTCTCTCTATTATGGTGTCTCTTTTCTTGCTCTTCTCTATGCTTTCCCTGACTCAAGCTTCCTGCTCTCTCATGCCCTCTCTTCCTCCTTACTCCCCCTTCCCTCTCTCCATGCTCCCAATTTCTTGGGAGATCTTGGTAAATGGCCACTTTTTAACCAACTAAAGATTTTGAATTCCTGTAGTGTCCAGGGTTTCATTTTGTTCCTATGTGTCAAAGAATAAAAATGTGACATAAGTCTTTATTCTGTGTTAAATGGCTAAATAAATAGACACTTGCCTGTGCAATGCAGAACCTCTATGGCATGCAAGAGCTCATAAATAAAAAGTATTTTAGTTTCCTTATACAAGCGCTTTTGAAGCTTAACTCATTCCTGGCTCAAAAATGTGCACCACAGTATTAATGGTCTTCCTTCGCCTCAATAATTTGAATTACATATACATATGTAATTGTGTGTGTGTGTGTGTGTGCGCTGAATACTCATTTTATAACCTACAGCAGATTCATTCTACACACACAAACACACACTATCTATTGCTCATTTGCAATCACACACATTCATACACACGAGTTCACACATATACACACACACACACACTCACAGATCCACATATACTTTCCCACAGATTCACAGGTACTCACACACTCATACATTCACACTAGTGTTATCTTTCTCTCTTACACACACAAATATTCTCTAATGTTAAGATCCCCAAATCTTACTACTATTACTATCATTTCCTCACTTCACAGAAGCCAAAGTTCTCAAAATGTCTTGACTAAGACCATCACATTTCAGATTCAGAAGAAATATTACATACCAGTTTGCTAAGCTTCTTTCCTAGATATAGAAAACATCTTACACATGTCTACTAAATGACATCCTTCTCTGTCTCATAGTGCCTTCAATGACAAGGAAGAAAAAGGAATCATATCATCTCCAAAGAGCTATAATTGTTAGAATTTGTTTCCCCTGTCTGTAACCCTTACTATGATAATTCATTCATGAGCTTCGGTGATGATACTTATTAATGAAAGTATGATGAAAGTATTAATGAAACATGATTGCCCCTGAATCTAGATAGCTTCTTCTACTATGGAATCCAAATAAGAATTCTCCATGCTCAAATCATAAAAGGACACTCCAGTCAAAACACAGAAACCAATAAACCTTCTACTTCAGAGTGTCAACAAGGAAGGGAAACCAAGCTTAGATGGCTCTCTACAAACATACAGCAAGGCCCTACTGCAGAAGACAAAAAACTCACTGAACAGGGTCAAACTGGTCCTTACCTAAAAGCCATCACCCCTTCTGGCTAGCGTTCGTGATACAAGAAGGTACTCTAGCCATCACCAAAGGAAAACCATAAGCACCAACACAGCTGCAAACAGTTCTATCTACAATATTGTCTTGCCTCCAGGATATGCCAGGGCAATGGCAGAGTGAGCTTCTGAGAGTAACCCACAAAATCTGATTTTATTTAAGGCCCACTCCATGAGGGGGGAACCCACAGCCAGGCAATATGCAGAGAGTTAAAAACCTTAGAACACTCAGGAGATACAGCTATCAAATCCCTACCCCTGGGGAATCAGGGAACCCTGCAGAAGAGGAAGAAAACAGCAGGCAAGAGCCAGGGAGAGTGGAGGACAAGGAAACAAGACCTTCAAACACAACAGGAGCACTGCACACAAGAACTCACAGACACTGAGGAAGCATGCACAGGGCCTACACATGCCTGCACCACATAGGCATCTACATCTGAAAGAATTGGGCGATGCAAGCTCTCATCCCTAACCCAGACACTCTCTCTTATTGATAGCCATTTATGCATTAACATATAGTTTTCTACCAGGGAGTCTCACTGGGGAAACAGACTCCTCTTAAGGGAATACTGCATGCCCAGTAGTAGATGCCAACAGAAAACAAATCCAATGGCATCTTTGAAGGTTCCTTATCTCATAAGGGTGTGCAGGGCCTTTGCTTTTCTCCTTAATTTTAACTTAATTTGTATTTTTATTCTTGATTTTTTAATTTTATATCCTCCCCCTTTTTTTTTTTTAGCTTTACGGGTCCTTTGTGTATATATTATGGCTTCTAGTTTTGTGTTGTTATGGGATCCTGAGTATTAGAAAAAATTGAATTTCTGTGTCTATATTTATTTCATATACCTTTTCTTGGGCTCTTTTCCTCATGTTTTTGTCTGTTTGTTTTGAGCCAATTCCAACACGTTTGCTTTCGCTTACCTTATTATATTACATTTTATTATTATCCCTTAGAAGCCTATTGGTTTTCTCATGGAAGACAGAAAGGATATGGATCTGAATGAGAGGGGAGATGGTGGGAAGAAACAGGGAGGTGGGTAGTAGGGGAAACCATAATCAGAATGTGAGAAAAAATCTATTTCAATAAGAGAAAAGTATAATAAAAATAAGTTAATTAATTAATCCCATTGTCATAGCTAATTCCTTCTGAGAGAACCCCATTGATACTGTGTTTGGTAACCAGTGTATGTTTTACCATGCTTCATACTTGCCACATTTCACATATTCAGTGGCCATTCCTGACCCTTGATTCTGGTGTCTTCACATGGTCCTAAAATGTAAGGAACTTCTTTACCTATTTAACCCTTGTAAACTAAATTTTCTAGTCTTTACTTTTGTCAATTTTTAGTATTAGCTCAAAGAACACAACTTCAAAATGCATCCCTGACTTGTCTGACTTGTCTATCCCTGATCTTTCCCACAATGCTGCAGCCCCCCATCTGCAGTCATGTACCAGTAGATGTCCTCACTCTTGCCTGTCTTGCTATCTTCTCTATTGTGATGCCAATGTACCAAGAGCATAGAATCCATCTGTAAAACTCTTACTATATCCAGGATGTGTCTTCTTCAAACACACTTGCTCTTTAGGTGAATCAAATGACTTGGCAGAATTCAGCAAAGATAGTTGCCTTTCTATCTGATGCAAAGTGGGTAGCCATTTATTATTCTTCTAGGTTATCCCTTTCTGAAGTTTTAATCCTCCTGCCTAATATCCAACTCTAGCTTTAGTTCCTCAATAACTCTGAAAGCAATTCCTCCCAGTGCATTCCTCCATTAAGTTCTCAGACATTGCCTATTTCTCCTGGGATATTTGCTATAACCTTATAGGTGGGCATCTTCCTTTCTCCCTTATCTCCAGCCCCATTTCAGACATAGTGCAGTTTCCAAATCTCAGTGCAGAAATACTCCATGGTGCTCTGTAAAGCTTCAGCCAATGCAGTTAACCCAGTTTCCAAGATAAGTCAAGGCATGACTGTCTCACAAACAAGTACACGAAGGATTGTTAGAAACCAAGGCTCATTTTATTGAAAATAAATGATGTTCCCAGCTGTAGATGATACAGCCCTTAACACATTCAGACAACAGAACCAAAGATCAAGGGAGAAAAGACTGACATTTGAGAGCTAGTGAGATGATAACTACAGATCCCAGGATCACAAAGATCCCTTCTAAAAATGTGAGCAAGAGATCAAAGGCATTGTCATGTCGCAGTTTCGTGGGGTCTTTAAAGAAGCATTCTCTTCAGAAATCTACATTCAGAAGCAACTGCTCCTCTCCTAGGGATGCTCTAGCAGCAAGAATAGCATCTTCTGTAGCAAGATGGTTGGTATCCACAGCAGCCAGACCTGTAGTAGGAGCCGTATCCACAGCCATAACCAGAGCCATATCCACAGCCATAGCCAGAGCCATATCCACAGCCATAGCCAGAGCCGTATCCACAGCCATAGCCTGAGCCATATCCACAGCCATAGCCAGAGCCGTATCCACAGCCATAGCCTGAGCCATATCCACAGCCATAGCCACAAGAGTTACCGTAGTAGTTACAACACATGTTGTCAATAGGGGAGAATTCACTTGGGTTGCAAAGGAATATGTCTCAAGTATAGATGCCTCTACTGTCCTGGGGCCCTTATATACTGCCAGGAATTGTCAGAGCATACCATTCATTCCCTGACTTAACTAACAAACATTTAAGCTATTGCATTCCAGTCACTGTTGACAACCCGTAATGGTTGCTTCTAATGAGCACATTACTTTGTAAACTTGCATTTCATTTAAAGAGCATCATTTCAAATTCCTCTGTCAGAGAAGTTTCTCAGTAAAATCATGTTTCCAAGCACAAAATTAATCTTTACATTTATCACCCAATGTACAGCAAGGTTCGGAGAGAATGTAAAAAAGCTCTTCCTCCCTCTTCCCCCCCCCCCCGTCTTCTCTCTTTTTTTTTCACTCTTTCCTAAATTGCCATACTGTCCTACCTGCCTTCACCTTTACAACTCCCTCTACCCAGCATTGCTACAGATACCTTATATCTGATAATTCAAGTACAAGAGCATTGATTGGGCCTCTTATTGATGTAATTAATATGTATCTGTATGTGAGCCTTGCATAGCCTTCTTTCCTTCAAATGCCAGGCAAGTTAAGGCCCTGAGAACATCAGGATACCATTCTCTTATCTCTTGCTTTCTGTGCCAAAATATATCCTGTTGTTGAGGCACTTTTAAAACATAACTAGCTTTACTTGGATGAAAAAGCAAAAAAAAAAAAAGAATTAAATTATTTTATTTAAATTAGAAGCAATCTTATTTTACATACCAATCCCAATTCTCTCTCCCTCCTGTCCTCCCATTCCATCCATCTCCCCATTCCACCCCCTACCCATTCCTCAGGGAGGGTGAGGCTTCCCATGGGGGATCATCAAAGTCTGTCACATCATTTGGGGCAGGACCTCCCCTGAACATGGGTGTTAGTTGGGGGCTTGGGCAGTCTATGGGGCTGCTGGCAGTGGAATCAGTATTTATCCTTAGTGCACGAATGGGCTTTGGGAGCCCATTAGCTATGGGGGCATACTCTCTCAGCTTAGATACACAGGGAAGGAAAAGCAAAAAATTTAAATCTCACTCAGATAAGAAACTATGTTTTCTGAAAAGGAGATCTTATCAGGTTTTGTAGATGAGATATATGAGTATTTTGGGGATTTAATAAGCCATTCCCTTCTCCACGTACTAATGTTTCTTTACCTTTAATTCAGGAGTTAAATGATGATGAGAAATTTTAGGATGCCCTTGGAGCTCCTAACACTTGGTAGACTTAAAATAAGAAAAAAAAAATAATTCCTTCCATCTACTCACAGTGGCCTGAACTACTAATTTCTCAATTTTTCAAATTCTTTGACTTCTAAACCCAAAAAGGGAGTTTGTTGTGATTTTGAAATACGACATTTTCTCAAGCTCCTCGGCAGTCACGTGAGAGGAATGAGTATCATTTCTTTAAATATTAATTTTCCCCTGTTGCCCTTATGCTACAGATAAATAATATCCTTATTTCCTATTTATACATTACAATGAGATCTCATATATTGTCCAATAAGAAGGGTTTTCTTGCTGCTAGCTTGATGACCCTCCTCTTTACTCTTACATGTAAATAAAAGTTACGGGTGTTCTTCTGAAACTTTGTTTTGTCCATAGATTAAAATACGGTGTTCATGAGGAGAAACATAATACTGCCTGCCTTCAGACAATAAGCTTCAGATGAGCATGAGACCTCAACAAGGAATATGTTCAAATTGAAAGCTTAAATATAGCAGGTTCTCTTGAGACCACCCTGCAGAGCTGAAGAGTCTTTTGAAGTTCCCAGCATGGTTAGGATTCATAGCTGCTTCATTGGATGGTTGGGCAGTTGACTAATGTGGATCTAACATTTCTAATACACCCCCAAAATATCAAAGAAGTAATAGATGTTTTTATATCTTCTCTGATTTTGAAGTGCGCTTTTATAGACCTAAGTGAACCTTTGATATTATCCAAAAAAAATGTTCATAATATGTGTTTGTGCCTCTCCATACCCATATCTCTGAATATATTATAGTTTGTTGTCATATACTACATTAGTGGTCAGTAGTATGTGTGCGTTGTTACTCAGTAACCCACTTACATGATACACACTGTCATTCAGAATATTGGAAACAATGCAATTAAACAAACAGTGAAAAGATACACCTTTCATTGAACTCCTTCCTATATTCCTATCACTGAAGAGTTTCAAAATTCATGCACACCCATAGGAAAGATGAGGCCTAGAACAACATCATTTATCAGGATTCCTTTATGACAGCTGGTTATCCTCAAATTGATGTAGGGTAGATTGAATCAGTTGTAAGTGACACTGCCATCTGCTTCAAGGACTCGCTATTTTTAAAAAGACATAGAGCTTAACAGAAGCTACTGCACACTGTACAGGATGGCGAAGCATGTTACAGCTTGGTATTCCCCTCTCTCCTTGTTCTTTCTCAGGGTACAAACGTACCAAAATAATTATTTAAGCAACAAGATAGTACCATGCCCTGGTTGTTGTTTGCAGTTATATTTGTGCTATCATGCCATACGAACTTGTACTTAAACTTTGTGAAATTTTATTTAAGGGGATTTTCGTAAACTCCAAAGATGAGTAGTTAGGGAAGATGACTATGTACTTTGTACAGGACATGGAGGGATATCAACCAAATTTGGGATCCTTAGTATCTTAGTCATCCCAATTGCTGGTGCTCTCCACATTCTAACCCCACATTGAATCCCAAGGATCAGACCATAGACTCACTGATTCACACTTTCACTCCTGACTAAAATATGCAATTTTTATGAAACACACTAGAAAGAATTCATAATTTTTTTTTCTTCTCTGAGTTTTCATCTCTCCACAGGTATTACTTGGACAACTGAGCTAAGTTCTGTGGGACCTAGATGAGATCATGGTAGACAGAAGGTGTTATTTTGGGAACTAGGTATTTTTGCAAGATCAGATATATGCAAAAGGAAAGTCACTTCCAGAGCAGACCTTGTACAATCCCAAGCATAGGGCTTATTGTTTCTAACATTGCAAGAACAGAAACAGAGCTACCTTCACATCTTTCCAAAGCCTTTTAATTACTTTGTCACTCAAACAGCCATGAAATCCAAGTCAGAAAACAGTACATACTCTTGTTCTCAGCCATGGATGATTGTGCCTGTTAGAGACATATGGAAATCACTAGAGAAATTTTCAATTGTTTCAACTTATGGTGAGAAGGAGCTTGCTGAGTATCAAGTGGTAGAAACCAGGAATGTTGCTAATTTTATGAGACCAAGAAGAGTACCAAAAACAAAAGTGCATCTGATCTGAAATAATCGATACTGCTAAGGTCTAGAAACCAACCTCAGAAGTATTGGTGTGTCTATAAACAGATGCATCTATTACGCAAGATCCTAATCCAAGCATGCTATCTCTTCATGTGTTTACCCATGATCTTTGATATCACCGTACACGAAGTTCAAATGTTCTAAAATTCGTAAATTAAAAGGAGTTTCCCAAACTCTTTAGTTATTTTTCCACCCTAACAGCCATGAGATCGAAGGTGGAAGACGATATAAACCAGGAAGCTCCTATCAGTACTCAAGTTCAGACGGTAGAATAATGAATGGAGATCGACTAAATTATTGAATGTCTCCAGGAAGGTTTTCACACTGATGTCAGTTTCATTTTGTGATGACTTTCAGTGCCAAGCATTCTTTTTCCTTCTGTTGAGAAATACCCGTGCCTTTTCTACCTCAATATCAGTTCCTGGTCTTCCTGGCCACTTATTACTGTGCTTCATCCCTAGCAACAGACATCAAGAAAATAACATTTCATTGAGAATTTCTTCCCCCCCCCCCTTGTTTTCTTCTATCAATTTTTTATAATATTTTTTATTTAAATTTGAAACAGGCTTGTTTTACAAGTCAGTCCCAGTTCCCTCATCCTCTTCTCCTCCCCTGTTCCCCCCACCAACCTCCAATCCCATCCCCTTTCTGCTCCCCAGGGAGGGTGAGGCCTCCCATGGAGGATCATCAAAGTCTGTCAAAGCATTTGGAGCAGGGCCCTGGCCCTCTCCCATGTGTCTAGGCTGAGAGAATATCCCTCCATGTGAGATGGGCTCCCAAAGTCCATTGGAATACTAGGGATAAACACTGATCCACTACCAGAGGCCCCATAGAGTGCCCATTTCTCCCAACTGACACCCACATTCAGGGGTTCTGGGTCAGTCCTATGCTGGTTTCCCAGCTATCAGACTGGGGTCCATGAGCTCCCCCTTGTTCAGGTCAGCTGTCAACTTTTAAATTCAAAACTATAAATACTACTTTACAGATGCCCTGGAATGAATGTTTCACTATTCAGTACCACATCACCTACTTCCAAAGCACAAAGCACCAAATTATCTTGAAGCTTCCCTATCCATATTGCATAGCTTCCAAAATGTCTCCATGAAGATGTTGACCCAGAAAAACAAAAACAACCCATGCTACATACATCCATGAATAATGAGATCTAAATGAGGGCTTCACACATAAATTGTGCTTATCCAATACTCTTCTAGTTAAAAAAAAAAAGGAAAATTACATCAAACTTCTGCTTCAATGTTGGTATGCCACTGATAAATAACTTAAGGTATCAGTTAAAAACAAAAAGTAAAATTTAAAACAATATATTTAGACATCATATGATTACCGTCCTTATGACCAGTTTCTCTTTTCTCAAGTGGAATTTAAGCATTTTTATATTATTATTATTTTAACATGCTTCAGGCCTTTGAAAATGTTTGGGGAAGAAACTACACTCAATAAATATTATTCCCTCATTCTATTTTTTTAATCACAGCATAGTTTTAAATACTCATCTGTAACAGATTTTTGAACACCAAAATTTACATTATACTTTAATACTACAACATTAATGTTTAAAGGCACATACTGTAGGGCATATATGTGTACTCTAATTTTAAAAAAAAATGTGATAAAATTAGCAAAGTACTTCACAAATAAATTAGCTTCTACGTGGCCTTCATGCACCCTGAAA